GAATGAGCTCCAGCAAAACTCAAATGCTTCTTCTAGAGAAGAATATACTCCACAAATATTGACTGTTTTTTAAGAGATTCATCGTGTTTACATTTGACCTTTGTGGCCTTTTGTCTTTTTTCTGTCATTTGTAAACAATACCTAGAACAATGAAACTACTCCGTCCACCAATTAGCGCTTCTGACCGGATTCCGGACAGATTTGGCGTCATCAGCTTGGAATTTTTGTCGCTGAGTCGCAGACGTTCCTCCCCGCGAAACGTCCCTCAGCGGCGATAAGCGAGGAGAAACGTCTGCCGTTTGCAGGCTACATTCTTGCACTACCAAGAGCATAAGACATTCAACGCAAGGACATGTCAATTAGGATCGACAGATTTGTATATGGGTCGACTTTATATTCAAATAAGCTGGACAAAAAAGTAAAAATCTTAAGTAAGCAATCCTAGGTGTCAATTATTTCTGAGTTATTCGCTGGTGGCTAGTCGACCTTTTGTTGGCGATTCTGTTGGTGGCAAAATGGTTTGGTGTCAAGATGACCATAACCCTGCTAATCAAACCTCAATCTTCCTACAACCTAAGGTCTATTGATAGTCAATTTTGCTGCAAACTCTAGAAAACAGGTTTTTTTTACTTTTCCAGCACTATGAAGCCAAATCATTTCCTTGACGAGTATGCTTATCTTTGATTTGCAGGGAACCATCACAATATTGAAGAATTTTACATCGTTAATGTTAAATATAGAACTTGGAGTGTGTGTAGTTCTCATGCTGAGGCAATCACATGAGCACAAATTCAGGTAAAAGTGAACTACTTTTCATGCGAATGTCCTCTGAAATTTGTTTTAGTTAATTTCTCGTCGCCCAGTGGTGATTTCAAAGATGGCTCGGTAAAAATGGCAAGAGTGATGGAGGTAGTGTTGGTAATGCTGATTATGACGATGATGCTGACGATATTGGTGTTGGTGTATTAACAGTGATGCTGGCAGTGATGCTATGGTGATGTGTATTATTTAAGCGATCGCAGTGTTGTCATTTTTCCCCACTCGTCTGCTCGCGATTTTTAGCCCCTTTTCCCCAACATGAAGAGCCTCTTTTCAAGCTAAAGTATTACCCATTTCAGTAGGCTCAGTTTCCACTGCTCTCTTGGTCTTCCTCAAGAAGAGACAGAACTTATGCATCCAGCCATCTGTTCAGGGCAGGAGGGTGGGGTCATTCCCCAAACAGTGGCTGGTAATCGAGCCTACCACTTCAGAAACGCTAGGGAGAATTGGGTACAAGCTTTCCCCGAAATCATTGTGTCAAAAGCTTGTACCCATTCCCCTAGTTTCTGGAATGGGGAATTGTGGTTTGTGGTGGTCTCAGTGATGACAGGGTTCGTACAGATTATGGAAAACCTGGAAAGTCAGGAAATTTAAGAATTCAATTTTCCAGGCCTGGAAAGTCATGGAATTTAATTGACGGTCATGGAAATTCATGGAAAATTGAAGTATTATGTTTGGTAGATTAGTTACTGTAGATGTCAAAGCAAGGACAAAGTAAGATAGAGACACATAGTTAAATAGTGCGAATGAAGCACATATTGTTGGACACCAGAGTTTGTGTCTGTTCAACTGAATTACATATGTAAAAAATATCACCAAAAACAAGAATAGTTTTGAAAATTTTTGGAAGTGACAGCTAAAACTAAGGCCATGGAAAACTGGAAAAGGTCATGGAAAAAGTCATGGAATTTGAACAGCTCAAAAGAGTACAAACCCTGGATGAAGATGGTAACTTGCTTGTAAATTGTTTCATTTATACCATTTCTCATTCTTTATATTTATGCCTTTTTTCAGTCATCTAAGAGTGCCACTCCCCCTATCGCGTCCCACATATCACCTGCAGTACTTCGTGGCTACTTATTTCCTGGTTACTCTTGGCTTCCATGTGGCCGACATCATTCAGTTATTAACTTACAACCAAAATTCAACCAGTGGAGTGGAGTTTTTAGCAAATCAAACTTTAACCACTTTTAATATCACTTGGAACAGCTCAAGCCAATTGGATTTGCATAACAGACGCTGGCGAATAAATAATGTTCTGTCGACCAATGAGACGCACTAGTGAGGAATATTTTGAGGTCATATGTTAGAGCATATTATGCATCTTTTGTGAGCCAGTGGACCATCTCTGGGGTTTTGGAGTGATTTGCAACAATTTTCTATTAAACCAAGTGACAAAGTTTAGTATCACAATAGCTCATTATCGATTTCCCCCGGGCCTCTGTTTCAAAACGAGGGTAGGTGCTCAGCCTTTGATATGGAGGTCATTTTTCATTTTCATGCAAATAAAACTCATTTGTACAAGAAAGGTTGTGCACCTAGCCTCATTTTGAAAGGGAGGGTTTTTGGAACTCGGAAGTGGCCTATTATGGCATGATGTCACACACTCTGTTCAAGGTCACTAAAGTCCAGTTTCTAGCCTGCACGTTAGAAAGGAAGTGGAAGTTAGGGAAAATTGGGCACAGAAAAATAAAGTCTTAGCAGTTGGGGTTAGATTATCTCTCACGTGGATAAATATAGCGTTGTAAAGAATCTGTTTAAATCAGAATTGTATTTGGACCAGTCGCTTGGGACGGAAATAGAAGTGGTCGATTAATTTGGTGGATGAAATCTTTTTGTCAGATCACATGATCCATTCTTCTCTTTCTGAAACCCAACCTTAAAGGGACAGTATCATCAAGAGTTATAGCAAACAGAACTGTTAGAACACATGTAGATAGGGGTTTCAGGGACAATTAATCTTGCTACTTCAATCTTCATTGGGCAGGGACTTTGCCAGGGTGCTTGTTTCAAAGTGTACATGAATTAATTGGTTATAGATGCCCCCTAATGTGATAGATGTTTCATCTCTAGTGTTTTTCTAGCCTGATTCTCAGACGTCCGAGGTCGTTCGCGGTCCCTTTCAAGAGGGAGGGAAGTGAAAGGGACCGCGAACGACCTCGGACGTCTGAGAATCAGGCTAATGTTTTTCTGCCTCTGTCTAACTCTTTTTCTTGCACGTCTGATGGGGTTGGGTTCGGTGAGAGTACACTGTGAAATTGGGTCTATGTTTTTTCTTTGGTCGGCCCCAGCTGGTTATAAAGAATTATTCGGGGGATTATAGCCAATCAGGGGCCTGTTCCAGGAAAGTCCTGCTAACTCTTTGGGCCCGGAAAGCTGTTGTTTGTTTATTGTGTTTGCATTGATTATTTTAAGATCAAAGTTTCAATAATTTTGAAAATAAGACAATGAAACTATCGGTTAACGAAGCAATATGGTTTTAGCCTCCCCCGCAGACATTCTTAGGCGTGTGTCACACGTTCCTTCCCCACGAACGTCTGCTGACCTGAGCAGGAAAAAATGTGACGCACGCCTAAGAATGTCTGCGGGGGAGGTTAATATGGTTTGTGTGCTAAGGACTGTGCTACTATTTAACAGGTTTGTATTTTAAAATTTGCCTTCGGGAATAATTCTTTATATTTTCAAAGTCCTGGTTTCCTTGATTGGTTTAATATTAACTTAATATTCATGTTTTTGCACTTAAATCTGGTCCCAGTTGGTTTGTTTCCATGTTTTAATTCATCCAAGGCATAAAATTGTTTACAAAACAAAGCCTCAGTGAAATTTTATATATGAAGACAAAAATAAGTTTTTCAAAAGTATTTATTGAATGCACTTATATCACATAAAATGTCTTAGTTCTCATAAAGGATTGTGCAAGTTTGCCACTATGGTTGTCAATTTTATTTATTAAGAGATCATTTTAAACGTTAAATAATAATTGTTTGGTGAAAAGGTCATCAGTTTGTTCTGTTTGTTTGTTTGTTGTGATAAAGATAGTTTCCTCCTTGGTTGATGTTGAAAATCGGCAGTTAAGTCAAGCAAAGTCAAGTCATGTCAGCCAAAATACTGGGTTCATGTGATATGACTACAATGCGCGCTTGCTTCCAGTGTGTGAGTGTGTGTTTTTTTTGTTGTTGTTGTTGTTGTTTTTTTTACGGGCCATTGACAGTTGATTCCTTTTTCAATGGAAAAGTGGTGAGACGTAAAACTTGTAACATTGAAAGCTGCGAAGAAGGAGCAGGCAAAGACCGTATTTATAACTGGCTGACATCCTTCTCCAGTTAAGGAGTTTTCCTCTGGTCTTGTTTTCGTCAACACTTAACACTTTTTCCACGGAAAAAAATAAAAATGAACAAAGGTAGTATAACATCAAAACCAGAAGAAAGGAAAGAGGAAGAAAGAAGTAATTAAGAGAGAAAAGAAGAAGGCCAAAGGAAAATGCATTTTTCCTCTGTTGCACTTCCGTCCACTTTATTCAATACTGCTGATGCTAGTATACTCTATTGGTAAGATGCTAGGGAGGGTCGAAGACTCCTGTCGTAGCACAGGTGTTTGTGTCATTGGTTAAGCCCACAAATGCACAAATTTTATTACCATACGGGTGGGGCGACAAGGTCAGAGAAGGGATGGTAGACTTCACTTAATCAATTTATTTGGCAGCAAAATTGTGTGAAAGCACATCCCAAAAATCAAAGTCACCAATTTTTGAATAATTCTTATAACAAAAACATTCATTTATTTATTAATTGTCCAATTCCCAAAAGAATGTTTCAACAAGATAATCTTGAGTATTCATCAATACATGAGAAGGTCACAAGGAAGGAAAGGAAGCCAAAAAAAACTTAAATGAACTTGAATGAGAATCAATAACTCCTACAGACTTCTTAGCACACCAATCCCCCTCCTGCCAAAAAAGTATTTGTTGTTTGCAGTTACTACGGCCATTTTTCACCCCATGAAAGGTTATCCAGTGGCCAGAATCCGGGACATTTTTGCTTGTGGAATCTGGAATCCTGGGCTTTGAACTCCAAAAATCCAATTCAAGGAATTGACGATGCCACTAACAACTGGAATTCAGAATCCAAGTTCCACCGACAAAGAGTACCGAATCCAGTACCTGGAATCCAGAATCCTTGGTGTGGAATCCAGAATTCAAGACTGTCTTGGATCACCTGACATTAATTTTTTCAAAAGATTCTACATTGGGTGGTTTTCGCGTGTTATCAGTTCTCGAATTCAAACATCAAAAATTATTGAAATAATGACTAGAAAAATTCAAGGTCCCATTTGTGAATTTGAACAAAAAAAGGCTTCTCCAGAGTAAATGAACGTTTTCTAAGAATAAATAACTAAGCTTGCTTTTTCTTCGAGTCTGGCTTGACATTCCAGTAGAATAGAACTTGGAATACAAGAGTGCCATTCAGGACTGTGGAGACGAGAAAGGTCACCAGCATAACTTTGTCGCCTGTCTCCTGTATGGTTGTGAAGATGCGTGCCATGGCTCCTAGAAACAGCAGCAGCACCATGATGAATGATAGCTGCCCAGTGTGACCATTGCGGAAGTTTGCAACTATCTGCAAGAGCTATAGGTGGGAAAAGAATTCTTTCAAAAACAACACAAAGATCCAGATGAAAGGCAATTCTGGTTTGTATTACATGCACAAGGCTGCGCTCTAGGAAACGTTTTAGGGAGCCCTTTTCCCTGATCATGCAGCCGAGGATACAAATCAGAGCTTCCAGTTGGTGAATAAACCATCCTGGATCAGTCCATACAAAGTTATTAACTACCTACCCCTGAAAAGGGGGCTTCTTTGAGAGGAGGACATAACAGAGGATTTACGGTATTAATTTTTTGTTGCTAAGGAGCAAAAGCTAGGTGCCAGGGGGCCACCTGGCTCCGCTAGAGCACAGCCTTGATGTAATCACAGTTAGTAGAGGAGACTGGTTGTGACCACTGGCAAAACTTTAAGGTTAAAACAACAGTGCTACAGTTTACTTACTGTGCATTGTGCAAAAAGCCAGGACTCTTCAAAGAGGACCTGATCTCATGATCACAGAGTGACAGTGAAAGAAGTTCTTGTAAATTTTGAACTTTTCAAACTGTCATTAAATCATTCCCTCACGGTTTTAAGGGTTCAAATTGTCTGTTATGAAAACAAAAGAGCATTTGAGCCTCATAATGCGCACGGAGTTATTTTACGATAGTTTGACAATAACAAAATTTACAAGGATTTGAATGGAAAACCATTTAACTGTGTGTGACTGGGTGACAAGAGTTGCTTTTCCCATACAAATCCTTCTAATTTTCAGCTTTCACTGCAATTCGTTTCTTTTGAGATATACGGTTGAAAATTTACAGGTTACCTTATTTCAATATGCTTTTTCAGTTCCCGCTAACAAAATTTTCCAAAAGCGAACTGTTTTTGTGTTTACAGAAAGTTGATCACATGACCAACAATAATGTTGCTAAAGGCCTTTTGTTGGACATACATGTAATCACACTACAGATGGCTGCTTCCCTTGGCTATTGGTTTTATTGTAACATACACAAAATTGTTGTGTTGACATTGTACTTACCCTGCTTACTCCTAGAAAGACAATTTGAAGTGAAACGAGTTGGACCAAGACAGCCATGGGTGTCAGGCCAGATACTAGAACATAAAAGATGCCACCATACAGTACCGGGAACAGGAGAGAAAGCAAGGCTTTGTTGGTGTAATAAAAATAAAGGCAGATAAGAAGCACAGTCTGAACGGACATGAAGAAACTCTCACCACAGGAACTAAAACAGAAAAATGCAAAACTTAAAAGGTGTGAATTCAGTACTTAGAAAAAGATATACCAGGGGTTTCAATAAAAATTGAAGTAGCCAGCAGGTTTGAATGGAGAAACCGACTCTATCATCAAAGGGACAGTGTGTAGTTCTAAGTTCTGAGTCTGTGGATGAGATCCATCGGTCGACTATTCTATAAGTACTTTCACTAGATCTACTGTAGTTCTAATTTTTTTGAGTCAGTGTATGAGATCCTATGGTGGGACATTTCAAATTAATGAAACATTTTCAAAAGACACTCAAGTGATCACTTTTACGATGACCCTCATCCAAGAACACAAAATATTGCATTATAAATCAATATTAAATACCTGAATGGGAATTCTTTGGCAATACTGTAAGATGCAGTAGCAGTTAATGCAACAAGTTCAAGAAGAAATGAGAGCAAGCTAAGACCCTCCACACTTGATGCTTGAATCACCTTGATTATTTGAGGGATTTTGACTGTTACACATGATAACAAAGCATACTGTTAGACAATCATTGACAACACTATTTCAAAGGAATGCACCAAAAGGGGCATCTCTTTCACCAGGGCCCAGTTCACGAAAGATGATTAAGTTTAACCCAAGATTAAGCAATATTTTAAGCAAGGTTTTCTTGTCTTAGAACATGTAACTCAAGCTTACAAAATACTGTTGAGCCTTAACTTTGAGCTTCTGTAATAATAACACAAAATGTTACTCTAAGCAATGCATAGGAAGTTAAATACGTAAAGTGGAACAAAATTTTAATCCTGGATTAGTGCTAATCGGCCATTCAGGAACTAGGCCCTGGGGTATAGAATTGTATATAAAAGATGGTAAACTCTATTCATGTTGACAGAATTTCTCTGTCAATTTTAGCAGATATCTCCATCATCATTTCTAGGCAATTTGCCAGACCCAGTTGCCTGGAAATGATCATATAAATAATAAAATGCAGTAACAGGTTGGGTGATCTTGTCTGCATCAACTGCATTTTATTTTTGCACCCTAGCCATCTGCCACCCCTCCCCCCTTCCATCCTAGTAAGTACAGCTGGAAGTTGACCCAAAACATCTAACTTTTGCCAGCATCAAGGTCTTGGAAGGAAAATTAAATGCCAACCCAATGACCACTTTGTAAAAACTTGTCATCTTTTAAGGGGTACAGACACAAAAATGAAACTTCACCAAATAACAGTGAGGGGGCGTACATATAGAGGGAAAAACTGACTTTTCTATTCAACCAGTTTAAAAAATTATGCTATATAACCTCAATAAATCAATTACAATGAACACTTTAATTTCAATAGGGTGCATAATTACTGACCAACAGTGTACTACCCCTTATGGCCCCATGAAACTACTAAAATTTGTAATAAACAAATCGTAAAAAACTAGAATACCAAGGTAAGAAATAATTTAAATAACAGAATTCACTCGAATTTACACATGGATAAAAAAAATCAATAAGTACTTAAAGAAAATATTAAGTCATTTAAAAAAGTTTAAAAAATTCTGTCAATCAATTTTAATACACAATGCACTTACTGATTGAAGAACCAGCTACGATTCCATAACCCAACGTTTTGCTCAGCGCGATCTTCAAACAAGGAACTGGAACATTACAAAAATAGGTAATATGTAAACAAATATTAATATTAATCCATGGAATCAAAGATTAAAAGTTGTCCCATTTCAGAATTGATCAAATTGCCCAAGGGTAAAAGCAGGAAAAACAAATTCAGTCCTATTTTCAGAAAAGAAACTCAAGCTTGAACTTTTAGTAAGCTATTTTACATACCGTCGAAGAAGTTGAACTTGATAAAGAACTCATCGTGGCAGTATTTTGGAACGAGTAAAAGAACCAAAGGAGTGAAGAAAAACTCGCCGACCGCCATATTGGACTCCACGTCAAAACGTCAGTGAGTTTGTCATGTAAGCGACTATAATATGTCACCATTCATCGCCAGTCTTCCTTTTCAGGGGAAGGTAATCTACGATCAGGAGTGTTTTTTTTTTTTCGTGAGAGACAAGGGATAACAGGGAGAGAGCATGATTTCAGGCTAAGGGGAAGGCAGTGGGACGGACAGTCAGTAGGACGGAGTTGGAGGCGGGGGGGGGATGATTTCTTCTCCATTTTCCCAGGACCCGATTTTGTTCTGTGTTGTAAATCAAGGCCTCGGTTAGTGTCATCATGTAGATTAAATTATTTTCAAAGCAGTTCTTTCACTGCACTGGGCCGGGCCAAGGGGGGCCGCGGAAGGCCGCGGCCGGGCTGACGAGAAAAAGAAACCCGGATTGAAGTTTAACCCCGGGTTAGCGCTAATCGGCCTTCAAACAACAATGAAACAACTGGACCTGGAGCAGTTTTCTTCCCAGTGCGCGCTGTTTCCCCCGATTGTAATCGATTATGGGTTAGGTTCAAGTACAGTAATCTATATTTTGATCGAAATACAAAGCTTTTCTTGCAAAAGGAGTCTTAAATTACCTGTTTATCAGTAACAGCTTTACTTATCTTTGACTGTTTTAACACTTGAGAAAAATTTGGGGGCCCTTTTTTCTAAGCCACTCAACCGCGAAACCAATTAAGCAAAGTGCTTTTAAAGCATGTTTCAATGTCCGGACAAGGTAATTTCTATTAACATAATTCCATTTTAATCAGAACGTGTTCTGAAGTTCCACTGCCGAAGAGAGATTGTCTAAACAAGATCCGAACTAAGCAGAAAAGAAAACAGAGCACGCTGAGAGATCAATTGATTGTCAATCTTCGGTTTTCCTCGCCCAAACCATCAGCAAATCATCAGTTTCCATGTCATGACGTTGATTTGAGGGCAGTAGTCTTTCGTTTTGATCAGAACAATGTAAATTAACAGCGAGATTTGAACCTTCCTGCTGTTTTTATCCACAAACATTGGTAGCCTCACAAAGGGCAGCTGTAAAGAAGGAAAGCAAGAAAAGTAAACAGCCTTACTCTCTACTGGACATTGAAAACATAAGCTCGAGTTTTAAGCGCTGAGCTCTGTGCGCTGCTAAAACTAACTAATAAGCTTCCATAAAAAGTATGGCTGATAATCTGACAACAACAGGAACATTTTGGGTATTTTTGTCGGTATCAAGTGCTTTGTTGGCCTGCTCAGGATTTTTCCTACCCTACTGGGTGCAAGGAAAGATATACAACTCCACTGTATATTTGGGGGTCTTCCGTCGATGTAACTTCTTAATAAAAGGAGAAGATGGCGTCTCGTTTATGGAGAAAGCCTGCGGAAGGTACGCTAGTTTTCAAGACATTCCATCAGAAGCGTGGAAAGCTTGCACTGTAATGAGTGGAATCGGCTGTGGTTTCTTGCTTCTCGTTGCATTAACAGCCGCCGTAGCGTGCTGTTGCAAGGACGTTGTCACGAGAAGTTCGGCGCGGATTGGAGGCGCGTTTCAATTCCTTGCTGGTGAGTATCTTTATTTGCGTGTCGTGTTTAATAATTAAGTACTAAAATACTTAGAAAACACTTCAGCCTAGCTCTTGAAGCAAACACCCGTGGTGATCGTAATAATGTAATAATGTCCGCCTTTACAACTGCTTGTATGCCTTAGAAAAGGATTTTCTTTCCCTTCTGGGAATTATCTTGCCTAGTATTTTGTTTACAAACTATTGTCAAACTATCGATAACAAGCTTGTGAAAAATGTGTTATCGGAAATATGCATGTCCAATAAATTGACAAATTTTGACAGTCATCCGGAGATGTTCCAAATATTATCAGTCATCGAGTCCGCATTATCTGAGATAAGTTGGGTTCACATTAGACCACTAAGTCTGACTTAGTAATCTCTTAAGTCGACTTAGTGAAAATGACAGGTATGAACCGCTAAGTCACAGAAGCGTGATTTCTGTCTTAGTGTCGGCAAACTCAAACGACCTAAGCAATTCTTAAGTCTGTTTCAAACATGACTTAAGGCTGACTTAAGAAACCTGATAGCAAAAAAAATTCAAAATCGTGGGTTTTATCAGATAGAGATTCCTGCGTTAGGCGCCAAAAGCAAAGAAATCACGACACAGTTTCTTCTCACGAACAAAATTAACTGAAGATGCATCGCCGAGGGGACGAAACGTTAGAAGGCAATTACGCTACCGACTTTTTACCTTATGCGACGTGGAAAGTCTCCAAACACCAACAGCAACACGCTTCTCTACAGACACAGGCTTTCTCAATCTCGTTTCCCGTCTCGTCAGATCACCACGAAGAATTCGGCAAAGCTCGTCAAACGTTTCACGTTCCATTCTAAAGTTTGGTTTCACCTCGTCTTCGCGTGAACGTTCACCTCGTCTTCGGTGAACGCTCAAAAGTAGGGCGGTCAGAAAAAGCAGGCTTTCACGCTCTTCAACAAAATCTTCCGTCATTCCTTCACGAAGGAACATAAGATTTTGTAAGGTTATTTGGCTGATCAACCTTTGTAAATTTAATAAACAGACAAAAGTCGCAATTACAGCGATTTTACGGCTTCTCGGTCTCATTTTGATCTCAACTTCTTCGCTAAAATGGATCGTGACTACCTCGCCACATTTATGATGTTAGTTACCTTATCTGTTATTTTTATCGTTAATGATGACAGCTTTGCACAGAAAGAATTTGTCTTGTAGATATGTCTGAACGCTTAAGCGGACTTAGGGTGACTTGGCTTGACTTAGGCTAAGACAGACTTAGTGCCTAGTGTGAACCCACAAATTACAATTACGGACCAAAAATCGGCTAACATTTTCTCGATAATCTATCCCGAGTCTTGTTTGCAAACATAAACCGCCATATGGCGCGGGCCACAAATAAAAGACGATAAAATTATTATCCTTTAGGGTGCCGGATTAATACGCGCGGAATACTTAATACTTCATGTGATGACGAGTACATACTGTTTAAGCTGTACTTCATCTTTTGAATGAATTGTACTAATTTCTATGTACTTTGTTTCTCTAGTTGGTTGACTCGTTACGGCTTGAGCTAATAGTCGTTTAAGCTTCCCATTCGGCTGAAACACCCAAAAATTAATAAAAGATTGAAATGTTATACAAAGCCCGTCATTTGGAAAGTATGCAATTTTATAGTTTAATGACCCATTTCCCGTGTAAGAGTCGAGAAAGATTCCACCAAATTCAAGGAACACCCACTTTTCGATTCCCTGTTATTAAAAACGAGTTATAATCCAGGATACTACTTTAACGAATGAACAGATATTTTCTCCAGACTTTAGTTATGTCTAAAATGTGTGTTCATTCTCTTTACGGAGGTCAACCGCAGAAATTGGCCTTTGTTGTATTTGAAATATAAACTATTGTGTTTCAAACGAAATTCTGCATGAGAAATTTCTGCAATTTGATTGGCTTAGAGCAGTGGTATTTCAGCTTAATTTGAAATACCTACATGTGAAAATTACAAACCTTGTGTGGGTAGTAGTATAAACAAATAATAGCATGATTTGCACGTGATATTTGGCATAAATACCACTCGTGATATTTCAAAGTTGTCTCAAATTTCACTCGCCTAACGTCTCGTGAAATTACGTACAACACTTTCGAAATATCACTCGTGGTATTTATGCCAAATATCACTACAAATCATGCTATTACCTATACAAATTCGTGTTCCGGTTTTAAGTTTCTTTTGTGTTTTGATTGCCTCCAAAACCAAGATAAAAATATTCAAATAACTTTTGACCATCAGCAAACTAACGGCGGTGAATTCGTTGTGCAACGAATGCTCCTTGTCATACAGACAGTTGCAGAAGGATAATGGCCAAAATTAACACAGCCATTGGATTTTTTTTTAAATTAAATTACTAACTCTGACTGAACCACCCAGTATAAAACTAACTTGAGTACTCGTTTTTTCCCTCGGGAAAGGTTAGACGACTGTAATATCGGACTGTAAAAGTTTTACGTCTCCTATCATGAGCTGTGACTAACTATAAAACGCCAGTTTTAAAACCAGAGATATAAAAGGCTTCTAGCCTAAGGGCTGTTTTCCAGTAGAGCGAGGCCGGGTTCAACTGTTACGTTTACGCGCGACGTTCAATAGATTGCCGCTATTTTATTTACCCGCGTAAAATCTACGTGCGTAAGGACGTCAAAATTATGCGACGATGGAAATCCACCTTGAGAAAACAGCCGACCTTTCGCGATTTCCCTGCGAAATGACCCCTCTGATTGGTCATGCCCAGGGGAAACTTTGCCTCAACCAATCAGAAACACTACCCAGATCTGGGTAGTGACACGTCATCAGTATGGAATTTCTGCGCTTGTTCCACCGTCGCGAAAAAGTCTCCTGTTTTTCAGGCTAAAGGCCTTCTAGCATTATTTCTCTTTTACTTTTTTTACAGGCTTCCTTCTTGCCATATCCTGCGGTATTTATCCATCAGGCTGGGGCAGTGTTGAATTCAAGCAAGTTTGTGGCGATGAAGCGAATTTTTATAAACTGGGCCACTGTAAACTAAGTTGGGCTTTTTTTGTATATGTATCTGGCACTGGTATAGCATTCGTGTGCGCGGCATTGTCAGCTCGAGTTGCTAAACAGAGAAAACCCCTATATATAAGGACTGGCGTCGAAAGATCAAACAGTTTTATGTGATCTTTGATACTGCTGTCCTCACCGACAAAGCCGAAATGATAGCGGTAACAGGGAGCTTTAGGAACGGCGACGGCAGCGAAAACGTCGCTGGAATTGAATTCTTGGGGACTGAACCGACGTTTAGAGACTTTAGAAGGAGACAGAAAAATTCGTCGTGTGTTTAGTCCCTCATTCTCGTGAGGGAATTTCACGTCGTAGTCGTGCAGTTATTGCAGAGAAATGCACAAATAAGCGTTATCCAAGAGCACAGATGTTGTTTTGCGTATTAAAACCAATTACTTCTTTACGTCATTGTTGCTGTTGCGGCCGTCGTTGCTAAAGCTCCCAAATTCAGAGAGTTCGCCGGAATTGCATCATCTGTAGATATCCGAACGATAGATCATATTAAGAATCACTTTCACGGTATTCCTCAGATTCAAATTGATAATTTCCCAAATTATGGAAAATGATCAGATAATGATAGCCTGTGCAAAAATTATTCTTATAGATAAACCTGGCACGAAACTTATTTCTTTAGGCTAAAAAATTGAAGCAAAGGGCTTAACGACATCATTTTTTTAAATATTTTATTTTCAAAGATTTCAACTGTTTGTCATGGCGGAATTCAGAATATGGGTGTTATTCAGAAATGAAATGCCGTTTTATCACAACTGTATGGCAACATGAACTGTAACTCTTAAGATCTCTTTAAGCCTCAAATAAAAAAATTTCTCTCTCTAGAGAAAATTATGATTTATACAAGGAACTAGAACTTTCTAATCTAAACGAGGCACCATTCTGAGGTTTTGTCCATAGAGGAATGAAAAAAAAAGTTATCTGATTTTCGTATTAGTAGATTTACCGTATTTTATCGACCATAAATCGAGAGATATCTCTAACGGTAATCCGAGTTTTCCCAGCTTTAGAATTAGAGAAAGGTTATTCGGCTTTGGTTTTCACGTGACGTCACGGCGGCCACGTTGGTAGTGAAGAACAAAAGCATTTTTTTCCCTGAGAACTTTTAAAACTCCTTCCGCGCCCCCCCCCCCCCCCCCCCCGGGGCCGGGGGCCCCCCCCCCGCCCCCCGCGTAAAAAAAAAAAAAATCCTAAGGGGAAAATTAACCCCCGGACCCCTAAAACGCGCTAGAAACAAAATGTCTGTAAGAGGAGCGGC